CATTGCGGACCACAGAGGGCAAAGGAAGGAAAAAGTGAAGAAGCGACGTTATTTTACCCCTTCACACTATCATACTTCTTAGAGACTCTTTTCCTATCTATATGTTGCGGGATTTCCCCAAATGCTCATCTATACATGCAGCCTGGCGCAACTGTTCGAAGCAATTTCGATGTTTTTGAAGAGTTTCGCGAATTCCTTGTGGGCAACCAAGGTTCTGACCACTCCTGTTGAACCATTCACAGATTAGTGGCTACCGGACCCCTTAAACATAGACTTTGTGCGCTACTCTTGCGCAGAATGTCACGCTTTCAAGGGACATTTGATCAGAATGAACTCTTCTCTACCGGTAGGCCTAGTTTGTCACGACTTCGCGAAGCGAAAATTAAGGTTGAGAGTTGTGTAAAGAAGAACAAATACTGCGCCGCACGCAGATGGAGGCTGACAGGGTTTCAAGGAATCCCTTTATCGAGCGGCAGGAATCACAGCTGCGCTCTAGCTGGGGATCCCCGTCCCAAGGGAGTGCCTGTGTCCCCTCTCGCCAGTAATGAGGCATCAGCAATCTCCAGGAAAAAGCAACGAAAGAACGGTGGACAAAGACGCACCACGAAGCTTCCTTTTTGAGAAGTAGGGAATCCCCGCATCCCAATTTGTCCCCCATTGTGTGTGTCTCTGTCCATTCTCGCTTGCTACTACCTGCTGGATCCAAGGTATAACCTTCTTCTCCTGCAGTACGCGTTGCCCAGAATATTTAGTGGGGCATCGCATCGGTTGTCTGCAGCAACTAGACTTTGTGCGTGAATTTGCCTGATTGTGTTGCTTTCTGCGTGTGCAGGGGAAGCAGAGTGCTGCGTAGCAGGCAATAGTAGCAGGCATTGGTGGTACTGGTGCAAGAACGAGCCGCAATGATATGCACGGGCAAAGCGGCTCAAGGGCATGCGGCTGACGATGTGTCTCGGCGGTAAGTGAAATGAAGGAAGCTGGGGGTATGCCTCGTTGTTTAGACAATGTAAAAACCTGCCCATATATTAAGATTAAAACAAGTTGTAATCCTTCCCATTGTCTGGAAAAATAAAACCAGCGAATAGCTGTCGAATGGCTGGTGCCTTTAGGCAGAAAATGGCGTATGTGGCGTGCAAGAACTTTTCTACAATCGTCTGCGGCTTAGGGTGTGCCTCTTAGAAGACCTATCCGCAGCCATCGCTCGGATAAGAGCAGAGAGATTTTTCTCGATACGCTATTCGCCTTTTCATGCACTTCCACTTGCAATATTTTTTGCAAATTTGAAGACGTGGGGAAGGTCGAATGAAGTGCTGGACACACCGGAGCAGATGTTTCTCTAATTGCTTCACAAACGCAGGTTTTGGCTGTACGACAACAACTACTGTAGAATGCCTTCCACCCATCTCCTCCAGTACTGTAGGCGCGGCAAGGCGATCGAGAGCCGTGAAGATGTTTGTGCAGCTCTGCTACATGCAACTTCCCGTAACGACGCAATCTCTCTCCTTTTGTCGCTCTTTAAAGGCGCCAGGAACATGGGAAGTTTCTGGGGGTGCATCTCTCCGCCGGATGGTGCTGCCGGTAGAAGCAACTGGCTAAGTAGGCAGTTCACCCGCGCCAGGCCCTTGCGTAACAGCTGGAAAGTAAAGCTTTTGTACGTTTACCGTCAGGGATTCGTCTACATGTGGCGGCTTTCAGTGCTTTGCAGGCAACCTAAGCCAGTGTGAGGCTCGAGGGGTTTAGCTTTATGCAGAATAGTGCACGGCTGCTCATTGGGCACATGAACAATATGGAAGGCAGAGGGGACTGAAGAATTGGAAGGCTCTCGATGATATGTCAATTGTGGATTGGCATTACATCAGTTTCTCGTGTTTGCTGTTGTTTTTGGCTGAGTAACGTCTTCGTTGGACTTTGCCTGGAAGCGGTTGCCCTGCAGTGTTCGTGGCCAGTCTGCGAAGCGCTGTTGGGTTTGTAGACCTTGAAATACGGCGTCAATGCATAAAACAAACATTTGTAGATGTGACCCT